CGGCGTCGCCACGTGACGCCTCGCCCCCGCCCGGCCCTGGTCACATGGGTGGCGCGGCCGCTGCGTCAGTCCCAGTCTTGGCTGCCTAGTCGAGCCGCCGTCGCCGCCGCCAGCGGACGGGGCGGGGATCCCGGTGCCAGGTCCTCGTCAGCCCGCCCCTGCCGCCTCAGTCGGCCGTCCCGGGCAGGGCCCGACCGTCATGGAGCCGGGCGGGACCTCCGTCTGTTCCGAGTGAGGTGCGTCGCCGTCGCCGCCGCCAGAGCTTTCGAGATCTCCCCAACCCCCGCCGCCGCCGCCGCCCGGAGCCCCTCGCCCTTGGCAGCCCGTCGCCGCCCCCCGGGCTGGCTTGAATGCGCGTCCGGTAAAGGTGCAGGCCCGGCGCCGCCGCTGCCGCAGCCGGGAGATGGTTCGGGCCTAGTGGAGCGGGGACTGGAGGTGAGAAGGGCTGACGGGCTGACTGAGGGCTGGGCCGGGTCGCGGGGGGGGGGGGGGCGGGTGGGAGTTGGGGCGGGGGGCGGGGGAGACCGGGTTCGGCTGCGCGCTCCGGGAGACCCTTGGGGTTAGGCTGCTAGATCCGGTCTTGGCCCCTCATCTTCACGTTCCCCTTCCCCCTAAATAAATAAATAAGTAAAAAAAGGCTAACCCAATCCTAACAAAAATTCCCAGAAATCACCTTTCCCCATTTCTCCTTTCGTTCCTTAATCCATACCTTCGCTCCGAAATTTCATCGAGTGATTGGCTACTTTTTATCACCCTCTAATTTGAAGTTATTTCTAGTTGAAGGGAAAATAGGCCTAGATTCTGGCTATCATTACCCTACTAGTTCTCGCTTTCCTTCTCGCGATCCTGCGCACGAACACCACCCCCCCTCCTGCCCAAAAAAAAAAAAAAAAAAAAATCCGCCTTCTACTAGCGTAGGGGTTGACTAAAAATGGGAACGTGGGGGTGTAAGACTAGAATACCCCCCCATAACTTCTGAATCGGCCTGTTAGACGGTTATCCCTATAGCTTCTATTTGGATATTGATGTTGAGGCCTTTTCCTCCAGCTGCCTGTGCCCGGGGTTAATCTCGTAATTGACGTCAGTGCTTTGTTCCTTCCACTTTGCTGTTCCTTCCACTCTTTTGAGGATGGATCGTGGGGTATAGTAGTTTGAGGAGTATCCTTACTGCCTTTTCTTTATTAAATGATAGAATTTATAGGAAGTTGAAAGTACACATCTGAAATGCTTGCGTATATAGTTCAAACTATAATGAAGGGTTGGATTTAGGGTTCTTGTAATCAGTTGCAATTGAGAATTGTACGATTTCTTCCCTGTTGGTGAGATGGAGATTTTAAACTAAGGTCAGTCCCTTTTCCTGTGACCGGCTTTTTTTCCTGACAGAACCTGCTTGTAGGTACCTGTGAATAGGAGGTTTGTAAATATGATGTTTAAAATATGTGTTGTATTTTAGGGTTAAAATGTTTTTTAAAAAGATCAAAGCTTTGTTTCCAAATTGATTATGTACAGTTTTGTCCTTTAACTTACTAAATTTGAGATATTTATGAAAACTTTTCAAATTTGGGGTTTGATAAGGATCCTTTGTGGCCCAGAGTCTGTGTACAATCATCTTTGGTAATATGTACATAAAGAAGTGTTGGCAAGGGGCCACTTTGTTTTTAACAAAGCAGGCTTTTAAAAATTTCTCAGGTTTATTTTCCTTATTCATCACTGTGCCTCTCAGTCTCCAAACATAACATAATTCAAGAAGTTATTTTAAATTATCTTTTAGAGTTAACTTACCTGGAAGCAATGATTTTTTTTTTTTTTAACACCAGCAGTTTCACTCACTTTGTGTGGCTTGCAGGTCGATGACTTTGGTTTTTGTTAGCTCTACAGGAACAGTAGGCAAATTTTACTTTAAATAAAATTTTCGTCAAGTGGGGACAACAAGATAGGGTGTCTGTGACCCAACCTTTACTTTTTTTTTTTTTTTAAAGACCTTAGCCATGTTAATTGACAGTGGTCTGTAATTTGGTGATGTAAAGGTGATTGTAAGTGCTTTGGTGAAGCTATGTCATTGAGAATTCTTAAATAGTTTTTTTTTTTTCAGATTCACTTTGCACTTATCAGATGACATATCCTCTTTTCTGTACTCTTATTGCACCCCCTTTATAACTGTAGGTAATTATGATTTTGTATTTTTATTTTTTATAGGTTTGTCACTGTCTTTGTACATAGAACTTTACTTATACCTCTCTGTATTCTTCTCAACATTTTAGACACTTACTAGATTGACTATAAAGGTGATAATACTTTGTTAGTCTATTAAGACAATTGTTAGTGTATCAAGTTGTCCCATCTAAGATTCACAAAAGGGTAATCTAAAGAAAGTCGTATGAGCAATTGATCAGTGTTTGAAGGAGAAAGAGTGAGTATTGACTCATTCATAAGGTGACAGGAGGGGAAGCCTTCTAAAAGTTTTATATCTTACCTTTTTGGGGAGGTAACTGTCACAGTTTTTTGTGCACTGGAGAGGAACAAAGAAAACTGGTATTTCTTCTTTTGTGGCCATCTACTGGCTTAGAATGGAGCCCAAATATGAGGCCTTCTTTTTGTACTATTTTCCTTAAAATCTAAGAGTTTTCTTAAGTATTGAAAACACATCTGGACAATGATGGAAAAGTACAGTATAGGCTTTAAAAGTTGATGACTTAAATTTTATATTTAACTTTAATTGTAGTCTTACTGTAAAAGCTTTTCTATATGATACAAAGATCTCCCAGTTTTTGAATTCCAGTCTTCATTATGTTTTACTCACTTCCTTTTTTCATTTCCTCTGATAAGTTGGAACAATTATATTTGATTTCTGGGAGGATGTTTGCCAGTCTCAGTTATTGTGAAATAAGGTGTAATCAGTGACTAAAGACTGTTTAAAGCTAACCTGACCTGTTACCTTGCTGCTTTACATTGGTTTAAGAATAGCTTGTACCCATTCATCTTGGGTATTTGAAATGTTACTCTAGTATATAGAAGAGGGCAGAATTTTTTTAAAAAGATTTATTTTTATCTATTTATGCATACAAGAACTGGGGTGTAAGCCAGAGGTGGTGCAGGGGTGGAAGTGGTGGTTGTGGGAGGATTCACCAGAGACAGAGTGGGGAGCAGAACAGGCTGCTTGACTAAAATACACTGCTGAGGGGAGCAGCTGGCAAGAAAGGACAAGTCTGCTGTGACATGCAGGTTAACTCCCTGGCTGGGGATCGAACTCATGTTGCCATGGCTGGTGACAGCTTAATAGGTGAGAATTTAACCCTATGCCTTCAGGGAGATCCCATATTCTGAGAATTTTAATATATTGGCATGTAGAAAATACTAGAACCACTGACTGTATGTATTTCTAAAACATTCCAAATCATTTTAACATTAGGATTACTTATCCTCTTTTTGAAGGGGGAAAATATAATTTAAAATTACTTGTTTCATCAACCATACTTTATAAAAAAAATCTTTAACTGGAGGAATGTTCGAAGGAAAGGTATTTCATCATGTAATTTTTTTCTCTCTTGGAGAGTGTAATCAACTATGATATGGTAGTGACTTTTAGGCAGGTAGACATAGTTTATTAGTGGATGCTGTTTTAAACTATTTTGAATATCATTTCCTACTACAGGTAAAGAATCACATGTATTCTTTTCTCAAAGTAGTTTGGGTGAGGGAGGGGCAGATTCAGGGCTTGCCAGGAGTAGATTACTCTGGAAAGCCAGTGTAATTTGACCACCCAGAAATTGTCATCATCAGTGCTGGTACTGGAATGGATCTTCCCTTTATTTTTTGCATTTGGAATGGGCCAGTGGGTTATGACTTTTCACCTTGACTACCTTTCTTTTCATGTTGTCATTAGGGTAGGGACAGTTTAATGGACAGGTGAGTGCAGGCCTTTACTCTGCATAGACAAGATATTCTACCTCTTTGTACTTGCTTCTGTTTCTTCCATCTGGGGTGTCATTCTCCCTTTCCTGTTCCCTACCTGTTAAAATTTTACCTTTTTTTTTTTTAAGATGTATTTATTTATGCATACAGAACTGGGGTACAGGCCAGAGGTACAGGGGTGGTGAGAGGATTCATCAGAGACAGAGTGGGGAGCAGAACAGGTGGACTGATGAAATACACTGCCGAGGGGAGCAGTGGGCGGGTCAAG